AGCATTTCATCAGGGGAGGTAATCAAGTTAGAAGTGGGAAGTCACAGCATTTCATCAGGGGACATAACCTAATTAGGAGTGGGAGGTCACAGCATTTCATCAGGGGACATAACCTAGTTAGAAGTGGGTGGTCACTGTATTTCATCAGGGGAGGTAATCAAGTTAGAAGTGGGAAGTCACAGCATTTCATCAGGGGACATAACCTAGTTAGAAGTAGGAGGTCACAGCATTTTATCAGGGGAGGTAATCAAGTTAGAGGTGGGAAGTCAGAGCATTTCATCAGGGGATGTAACCAAGTTAGAAGTGGGAAGTCATAGCATTTCATCAGGGGAGGTAATCAAGTTAGAAGTGGGAAGTCACAGCATTTCATCAGGGGATGTAACCTAGTTAGAAGTGGGAAGTCATAGCATTTCATCAGGGGAGGTAATCAAGTTAGAAGTGGGAAGTCAAAGCATTTCATCAGGGGACATAACCTAGTTAGAAGTGGGAAGTCACAGCATTTCATCAGGCCCCCTAACCTAGTTAGAAGTGGGTGGTCACAGCATTTCATCAGGCCCCCTAACCTAGTTAGAAGTGGGGAGTCACAGCATTTCATCAGGGGATGTAACCTAGTTAGAAGTGGGAAGTCACAGCATTTCATCAGGGGAGGTAACCTNACTTTAATGATACATGTGGATCAATGCATCCTCATTCTGGGCAGTAATCTTGTATTTAAATATTAGAGGGTCACAACATTTCATCAGGGGAGGTTATCAGGTTAGAAGTGGGAAGTCACAGCATTTCATCAGGGGACATAACCTAGTTAGCAGTGGGAGGTCACAGCATTTCATCAGGGGAGGTAACCTAGTTAGAAGTGGGAGGTCACAGCATTTCATCAGGGGAGGTAACCTAGTTAGAAGTGGGAGGTCATAGTATGTTTTTATATGGAGAGCTTGTAGCCTATTTGAAACTGACAGGGGCCAACACCTTCTCTGCCATTTTCTACGTACCAAGTTGTGCCAACATTGACTAAGGAATGGTAGAGTATCCAGAGCGACAGCATGATGAACCAGTTCGCTCCACCATTGATGATGAGAATCATGGATAAGATCATCCCAAGGTAGGCAACATAGTCAAGGAAACTGTCCAGGTTGCTATGGTAATCCACCAGCCACACAACACTTGGTACATAGCTGAAGGAATTCAGGTTTATCCCACCTGATGCTGCTTCAACTTTTTTCAGGAAATTGGCAGCAGGAATCAATCCATTTTTGCCAATGAGTTGTTTGTTTTGGTTTAAAGCCACAAGAAAAGCTACAACTACAACAGAAATATCAATTTAATTCCTTGACACCTTGATATATATTTAATAGATCTTCCTGATTTCGACTAAAAAAAGGAAATTAAATTTAAAAAGATTATTATTTCGCGATCTATAATACATGTGAAGGAACTACATTTCCGCTGTGTTTTAGCACAAAGATTAGACACTCGGCATATAAAGTGTCAAGAAGTCGAATGATTTTATTATAGCATCTAGAGCAAAAACTAGTACAGTTGTATTAGTGTATTTTATTAAAAAAAATCACCAACAAAATATTATGATATAATCTGTTTTTAAACATCTTGTATTACTCTCGATATATATATGAATCGTTTTATTATCTGGGTTATCCAATCAGATTACAGGAATTTATGAATATCTGGAATTACTACGACCTCAGACAAAACTAAAACGTATCATCGTATGCATCATACACTTACAATATATAAACCCGAGAAATCGCAACAACAGTATCCTGGTAAGCCAGTATGTGCCATGTTCTAATTTGCAATCAAGCGTATCTAATAATGTTTTATCTATATTGTTGGACTGTGTATCAACATTTTCGTTAACGTGATCATCTTTATCGGTTCCAGATTCCCGAGCTTTGCGTCGGCGCACCCTTCCTGTTGATGAGGCGGCATCGCTGTCCTCCGCCATTGTTGTTGTCCATCGACAGGAAGTCTTCGATACTTATTCGTCCTTGTAAAAACTGCTTTGATTACAAACATTTTCCAAACTTGGCATACATGATCTAAAATTAAAATAGGTAAACCGGAACTAACAATCCGGAATTAGGGAAAGGAAGAGATTGTTTTCCCTACTTCAGTTCTTGAAAGTTTCGTTAAGAAGCTTATTTTGACAAATTTATTTATCGGAATCTCATTTATATTTGCCATGCCACGAAAACGGAATGCACTTCGACTCGAAAGGTTATGTTTGACGAGGATTTGTAAGTCTATGGAGAAATACTGGTACCGGCCGTTTGAGGAACAATTTGGGAACACCAGCCGTCTTTTGCATGTCATTGGCCCTTTTGATCATATTTGTAAGCACAAATATTGAAATGAACGGAATACATTTTATTATGAAATATCTGAAATGTTACATTTTATTTCTAATCAATCGATAAGGCAATGTGATTTCACCTGTCATCCTATATGTTGTGCAATACGCTCACATTGAAACTCTGTTACCGTATTTGACCAAATAAATACTCGTGATAAATTCTATAAGTTATTTCTTAGGATGTGAGATGTACAGTGATTAATGATGACCTATTCCCAAGCAAGAGCTTATTCACGGGTCAACCGGTATATGGTAATTTTTTCCTGATGCTGAATGTAACAGAATCGGACTGGGTCGAACGCCGAAAACCTAGTGGCTCCATTGGTAGAGTGTCTGTTAAGAGTTGAGAGAATCCCTGGTTCGAATCCCAGTCTGGCCGCTGCATTTGTCTTTCTCCTATTACACTACAGTAATATAGCAGAACTAGACTTGGTTGATCAGTGATTACTCGTGGCTAGCAGGTAGAGCGTCCATCCAGAGTTAGGAGGTCCTGGGTTCGAATCCATGTCTGGCAGTGCATTTTTCCATCTCCTGTTACAGTGGCGTCTGTGATCAACCTCTGTTTCAAGTGCTGAGTGTATGCTTGTCAAGGGGATACCTGAATCTTGGTTGGAAAGAGTGATGTATTTTGGGGCAAAGGGAGGGTCAAAGGAATGTAGCAGAACTTAACTGTTTTGAGTTTGGAGGTCACAGGTTTGAATCCCTGTCTTGCTGTGCATTCTTCTTTTCCTGCAATTACACTTTTTCTTTGCCTTTTATTATTTTAAAGCATCAAATGGTATCAAACTTTAAATAAATACCTTTGAAATAAATTAACTTTAAAAAGAAAAATTGGCAGTTAAAGTAAAGACTACAGAGGTCCAGTCAAACAGCTTTCACCGTATGGACAAGATATGTTTATGCGGTCCATTAGATCAGCACCTTAAACAATATACCAGTCATATTGGTATATGGCTGCCGTGATGATTTTCTTTTGTGCTAACATTTGCGGAGTGCCCATTAGGATAGCTGTAACACCCTATGCTCAATGAGAGTTTACACTTGTGTGACATAGCACCAGATCAAAAGTTTTCTCCGCCTGCCCTGGCTTCGTATCCCAATCACATGTGTAACAGGAGAGTTTATGCAATGGTGCCATGTTTTGCCAGTCATCAACTTTTTTTCTAAAGTCATGATATCTGGTCAGTAGCTTGCTGTGATCTGTAAAGAAATCTTATTCCTTCAAATGACCTTGACCCATTTTCAAGGTCAAAAAGATCATTGTGTCAAAGATGCGCCTCTACAAAACCACAATACCTAAAATTTGTCATTATAACATAATGTATAATTATATGAGGCAACTAATGTGGTACAACCTCTGTTGAGGTTTTTTTCTGGATTTGCCGTAGAGAACAAAATGGATCTAACTTCTTTGAATGTAACACTTGGGGTTTTTATCAGTTCTTTTTTCTCCTTTGTACTGTTTGCTTTCGGGGATATTCCCGTTGATACCTTTGATTAGCATGCTGTCAGCTGCAGTTATTTCCCATTGTTAAAAATCATACTGAATTGAAGGAAAGGTAGATTTGATTCAAGTGCTTTGTTGGGAATTTTTTTTGTTTTAATTTTTATTTCTTATTATTATATATTTTATTATTATCGCATTATTTCATAGGATGTGATTTTTTTTTCATTTGATGGAGATTGTCATTCCATGATGTTCATTTGATATTTTTCAGCAAGCGAGCTTATACAGAAAGTAATTGATGTTCTGGTGGAAAACAAGCTCTTTAACCCAAAATATCTGCAGCTGTTGTTTAGCAACCATCTGAACCAACTAGATCTGTCGAAGGCCAACACCAGCATCAGGCAAAACAGCATTGCCGAGACTATAGGCATCCGCTGCAATGTAAGTAATATACTGTTATTAAATATAAACTTTATTTGTTTTACAACAAGTATGAATGAAGTTAGCTCAACTTATATTAATCACTCTTGTTAGCCCGGATGTCAGCGGGCATGGGTCTTACTGTGAGAGAAAACCAGAGTAACCAGTAAAAACTCACATGGTTGGGCAGGTGACCCCATACCTTTTCACTTCCGATCGGGGAATTGAACCCCGGCCGCCTTGGTGTGAAAGGCAAGAGTGCTATCCACTACACCATCCGACCACCAGATACACTGTTATTGATGAAGGGACTTAATCTTATTTTGTTCATATAAATTTAAAGAATATGATTAATGTACAAAGTATGTGTGTGTTTGTGTGTGCACAACAATGTGCAGGAAATATTATTCAATCTTTTTTAAAATCAAAATCAGGGGAAGTAACTAAGTAAATTATAGTAGTTGTATTATTAACAGAGGAAAAATAGTTAAATATCTACATGATATTGATTATTAGTTTATAAAAAGATTAAGTTTCAACTACAACTGTGTAATTACCTGCATGTAAAGTATCTCATTATCATATAATTAGCAAAAACATGTTTTATGTATATGCTAAAAAATAAAACTGTTCAAAAATTAACTGGATAAACACTGGGAAAACATTTGATTTATTCTATAACTTCAAAGCTAATTATGAATTGTTGTGTGGTTACAATTAAAAAATAAATATTATAGCAACTATTGTGATTTGTAGGGCTGCAACGATACATTAACATGACGATATGATACATATCACAAAGAGAAAAGATATGCTGCAAATTCTTAATGGCAATATTACAACTGGAAATAGACTTGGTCCAAAATGGACATGACTTAAAAGTTTCACACATTTCACATCTTTCGAAAATATGGTACATGTGTATCGTAACCTCCCAAAAACTATTGTGTATCGTACCATATTCAAAATATCGCAATATATCTTCACACGATATATCGTTGCAACCCTAATGATTTGAGTCTGAGGAGAGGATATGAAATCCTGTACCAGACATTTATCATTAAGTCATTAAATATAATGCAGAAATTCTATTGAACACAGTGTCTGAAAGATTTTAACATGAAATGTTTTTTAATACTCTAAATTACTATATTTACAGAATTTGACAAGACTATGCCTGAAACACTGCTCTGGTTTGGCAAACAAGAGTCTCGTTACCATGGTTACATATTTGAAGAAACTGCAACATTTGAATCTAGCGAGTACTAAAAGTGACAACCAGGTTTTAGCAGCTATTGGTAAGATTTCGTGTTTTTATTTTCAATAAATTTTTCTGGTATTTCACATTTAGCTTTATGCATTATCAGTCAAAGAGTCAAAATTTGTGAAATTTAGTAAAATATTCAAAGATGTACTTCTAACATCTAAACTATTATTTTAATCATTTTATTGAAGTGAAAGGTCGATTTTAATGGCTTGCAAGGGTCAAAGGTCAACAATTTCTCAAAATGTATGTAAAGTGCTTTGAAATTCATCTTCTAAATATTCCATAAGGTCCAGGGCTATGATAATTGACCAGTAGGTACCTTGGATTCAGTGCTGAAAAGGTCATTTAAATGACTTACACTTTCTTTTAAGGTTGCCATGGTCAAATATGTGTTGTATCTCTGAGCAAGATACTTTACTTCGCTTGTTCCAGTCTACTCAGCTGTAAATGAGTATGTGGTTGGGCAAAGATAGAATTGTTGAATGCTAGCTGTGAGTGCCGAAAGGGCAGCACCAGCTGTATGCTCCCCAGGGAGTTGAGAAAGATATTGGCTGGTTGCAAAGGCCCTATAACCACGGATAATAATTTGTGAAACGCTTTGAGACGATATACAAACTAGGTTGTGATAAAGCGGTATATAAGAACCTCATATTATTATTATTATTATTATTAAAAGCTTCGGTTCTAAAATTCTTAAAAGAAAATCAAAAATTAAAAGTCATGTTTGACATCTTACGTTTTTGATAAAAAAAATAACCTTGACCAACTTGCCAATGAAAGGTTACAGAAATTGTTAAATATTATAAGTTCATCTACATGTAGTCTGCAAACAACTACAATGTATGCTTACCTTGTAGCTTTTATACAATAATGGTCGAGGTGAGTGCTGCAGGCCCTCTTGCCCATTTTGTAAACTAGAATTTACAAATTGATTTGATGTTGCCTTGAAGATATATATATATATAATCATATCATTTAATTAATTTTGATAAGGTCTCTTGTTTTATGAACTTTCATTAAACTTTATAAATATATTGACTGCTTTAATTTCAGCCAAAAACTGCAAAGATTTGTTGACACTAGATGTGGCGTGTACACAGATCCGAACTCTTCAGCCTCTGTTATTGGAACCTAACCAACCAATAGGATCGCTTCCTTGTTCAAAGCTCCGATGTGTGGACTTTTACCTGTTAATGTTGCCTCAAGAACATGTTGCTGATTTTCTCAAAGAGAGATCTCATATCCTTACAGATTTTATTTTTGACCATATGACAGAAACCATTGACAATTTAACACACAGCGAAACTGCCTGCTCATTTAGTGACCTTGCCCTTCAAAATGGCTCTGAAAATGACTTACAAGAAAAACTGGATACATCTGGAGAATTAAGTGTTCAAAGTTTGAAAATTCGTACATTGAACTGTGATTTGTATCATTACAGCCCTGAAAATGTACAATGTCTTAATGCAACTGTTTTGACGTGCCCCGACGTCACCACGGTAACGCTGACCAATGTCAGCAATGGCAGCCATCTTCTTCCTTTGAAAAACTTGGCAAACCTCTCTAAACTTTCAATCAATCTTTGTGAAGACTGCCGTGACGACGGACTTCTTCATTACGACACAGGAATAAAGCCAGTTTTGGAGAAGCAGGGCAACAAAATTATTTCCCTTGAACTGCATGGATTTGCAGTTGTAGATAATCGGTCCGTAGGTGTCCTTTGCCCAAACATCAAAAGGATTGACCTCTTCCAAGCCAGACTTGCCCCCCTGGATGATTCTGTGAGTGAGGATGGGCAATTTTTTAGGAAACTGGAGGAATTTATTTACCATCTGTCCGAAGATGAGGAAGTGGATCCAGATGAAGAGGCCTCCCCTTTATCATTTGTTCTTGAAAATGCCAGTGCTTTGAGGTGCTTGAAGCTCACAAAGTGTGCGGAACTTAACGATTCCATTATTTCAAAAGCGATTGAAGAACATTCTTTCACAAACCTGGAAGTGTTACAACTGTCAGAATGTAACTGTGTCACGTGTGAAGGTATTGAAAGTCTACTTTTCACAGACAACGGCCTGAAGGAAATGAAACTTGACAACTGCTGGGGGATTCACAATTCAGACTTTCAGAGCTGCAAGTCTTTCGTCAAGAAACATAATCTTGACGTGAACCTGGTTTGGGTTTGATTTAAGGCCACACAAACTACTGTATTTGTTGTAGTAAATACCTTTTTCCATGTAGCAGACCTGATTTCTTGGTTGTGAAAAAAACAGGAACGTATAACCTTTTGATAAGGCGATAACGTAATCATGGCATCGTACCCAATATGGTTTGATCGTCCATTTTGTTATTCAGTGTTGTTGATTGTTAGAGTTCACACAATTTTAAATTTTCTGTTTCTTTTGAATACCATTATCATTTTAGATTAAGGATAAAAACATGCCTATATTTTACTTATGGTTTGTAAACGTTATATATGATTTCAAATTATTCCTACCAATGAATGAAATGTAACAGGTTTTCATCCAGAAAGCAAGCACTTCTCTAGGATACTAGGATACATGTATATTTGAAAATGTGAAGTTTGAATAAATAAGTTATTGCCTATCTGTGATATATTTATAAAATAAATATCTCTTAATCATGTATATTATATTTTATTTTTACTCTAGATACCTGTACATGCATGCTAAATTATATCTCTGACTATTTTGACAGAATATATTACATATCTGTCAGTCAGGAGTTACTGCCCTTTTTGGAATTTGAACATTACAAATATCCTGTTGTCAAAAAATGTTGTCCCTCTGTTCCATCTGATTTCCTTAAAATTTGGTAGAGTTAACCACCATTATAAATGTATTTGTAAATATATATGAGGCATTTTGATCAAAATATATTTTACAGGGTTATTGCCCGTTTTTGAAACATATTTAGTTCATTTACCAACAGGAAGGACACATGCATTTTTTATATGGACCAAGATGTGAAAACAGTCCTCACATTTCACCTCTGATCAATATTTTACATATGTGGAGGTGGATGGTTGTCTCCCCTTTGTTTGAGTGCCTTAAATATTATATTAATAAATCTTTCTAATGTTTATTGTAAATGTCTTTTAACAATCACCATTTCCTTTTTCTACCTGATGTAATTCCAAATTTATAATAACATTTTCAGTTTATGTAACTAAAATATGTGTTATTTCCACAGACCAAACAGCTAGATTTTGGATGTTGTAATGTAGAATTTTGTTTGAATTCAAATGTAGTCTATTTTTTTAGGTGCCCTGTCAAAATATGATTTTATAAATTATACATGTGTACATGAACATTTGTATGGATTTAAAAAAACAACAAATTTAGACAAATTTCAAAACGAAAAGTATTTATTTTTAATGATCTCGGCATTTTCGTAGTGGTTTGACATTTGAACATTGATGTAGACGTAATGCCTGTATGACTGGCAAGTTAGTCATGATATATAAGTGCTTAAAGCTTCATAAAATACTACCTTATTTACAAGTAGGATGTGTTTAAAGACTAGACTGATTTATGGACATACTTTGCAGCACCACAGTAAGTCCTGTCAAAGATTGGCCAATAAAAACAAGAACCTTTCACTGTACAGGTAGATTACATTCTAACATGTTGGAATAATTTGCATACAGCCATCTTACGAACAAAAAGTCTGTTTTGTTAATTTTTAAAATTCATAAGTAGTACATTGTACTTTGCTTACTTTAACTGCCATTTAAGTATAAGTATACAGGATTCCCTCTTTTCTTTTAACAAAATGTGTTGAAAATATTAATTATTTAGGTGCTTCTGATCTTGTATTTTCAATTCCAGACACATATTTGGTTGCAAGATCATGAAAAAACTTCTCCATACAATAATAAATTATTTATAAATTTGTGTGAATAAATAATTAAATATTATTACCCGTAGTTAAATTTATTTTGTTCACTGTTAGATGTAAATACATTTAAATGAACATTAGTGATTGTTAAAATTACTTTAGCAATGTGTATCTAAGTTCATCATATACACTATTCTTACCGCTAACTTTTTCTCCTCACTGCCATCTAGTTTAGAATATGAAAACAGGCATTTGAATAGTAATACAATGTTTTTTTGTATATTCTATATTTCAAATTAAAATCCAATATTTAATCGAAAAATCTGGGTTCATTTGTTGTATTTTGTGTTTTTTTTAAACAAGTTTTCTGTCATAATGAGACACTTTTGTTCAGTTTTTGATCACAGGTGCTTACTTTAATGGATTGGTCCCAACCTCCTTGAAAGAATATTGGAATTAAATAAATCTATAGGAACTTTAGTATTACAGTATACTAGGAGTCTTGCTCAAGTCCAAGATTTTGTAAGTTAGGAGGGTTCCGTCGATCAAGCACTTGATGATTATAAATAAATTTACTGTTTCGAGTTGATTCCACTAATGGTTTCAACTTCATAAACTTCCAAAAATATCTGAACTCATTATCACCAAACTTCACCTTGAGGTTATTAGTTACTAAAATGTATAATTCTATCAAAGGTCAACACATTGGAGGCATGGTAGGATAATGGGCTCGTGATCGAAGGGTTGCGGGTTTGAGTAACGTCACGGCACTGTGTTGTATCTTTGAGCAAGATGCTTTACTCCGCTTGTTCCAGTCTACTCATCTGTAAATGAAACGTGGTTGGGCAGTGCTAGAATTGTTGAATGCTAGCTGTGAGTGCCGAAATGGCAGCACCGGATGTATGCTCCCCAGGGAGTTGAGAAAGATAATGGCTGGTTGCAAAGGCCCGATAACCACAGATAATAATTTGTAAACCACTTTGAGACGACCTAAGTACTAGGTTGTGATACAGCGGTATATAAGAACCTTGAATTATTATTATTAATTATTATTACATAAAAGGTCAATTCTTTCCCTCTTATCCATTGATGACTTCTGCTCTTTGCCTTCTCTATTTGTAATCTCATCTTCATCAAACTTAACGAGATTGTAGTACTTTGTTAGAAAAAGACACATTTTTTTCATTTAATTCCATCAGAAGTTGACTTGTGCAAGGAATTTACAAGATTGATTCTAATCTCGTCTACAACTAATTTGTTGTTGTTGTTGTAGCACATGTATACCCATACTTGTTTTGGTCATTCTGTCAAAGGTCAATGTCAATCAAGATCAATTTTTAAACATAGATTGCAGATTACATTTGTAAAATAACGGAACATAAAAAAACATTCTTTTTGAAATATTCATCACTAGTACCTGGTAGGTATTATAATGTACTAAAATCACTTTCAAACAAATAAATATATTTGGTAATTGCTAGATACATGTACTATCATATACTGTTCATGGTTGTCTGTTTTTTATGAACTCAAATAGTCTAACTGGTGTTTTGAATTGTTTTTGTGAATCCATGGGATGAAAATTTTGTTTGACATGGTTTTACATGTGTATGTGTAACAGGAAAATAAATATCCCCATCAGCAAATTTCTGCTTCCCCATCAGCTTCTTTATCAATTGAGCTAAGAGAAATTCTCTCCAGCCCTAAACTAGGTGACCATTATATATGTACATTTAAAATCTGCATTACTACTTTCATTATTTAACTCATTCAACCCTGAAATTTCATAATGAACTATTCCAACCTTTGAATTGGAAGAGTTCAAATGTGTCTTCAGGGGTGAATGAGTTAAAATGTTTTTGCTCCTGAATACTTCTTCAACCCAGGTTCTCTCTCCCCGCCACCACAGGGAGGGCTACAGACACCATTTTCAAATGGAAAGAGAGAAGTGTGCTTCCATCGGGAATCGAACCAGCAAATACTACGTTCCCAGTCCATTGCTCTACCAATGAGCTATAGGGAAATTCCCCCCTGCACGAAGCTAGAAAGCAGCCAGGATCATATGTATAAAGCAAAACACAGAAATCAGTTTTGTTATCATATCATTTTATAATAAGTCATAATCTATAGTTCAAATTATGAAAAATAAATACATACAATGTACATACACATTGTCATATGTAAAAATCATCAGAAAAATGTAGCCCATTCAAAATGTCATCCTTGGTCGTGATAATAATCATAACAGAAATATTTTTCTATACTGAATCCCATTCCTGTGCTTTCAGACATTGTAATCAACCATACGAGACTGGTATGTATTGTCTAGCTACTGAATGACATTGTTTACAACAAAACCTGTCTAAAGACACACTATATGGACGAGAGACTCCGTCCATTAAAAAATTGTTCAAAAATTTACATGTCCCATACTTTAAAAGAATACAGGCAGGTATGAAAATATTGTAAATAACTGCGAAAGTTATCAAAGTTCAACCTTCTTTCAATTTTATTCTCATACCTTTCATGTCAAGTGTTTTTCAGAAATTTTAAATAATATACTTGACTTCAGGGACCAATTTTTTGTTAATTATACAACATGGTCTTTTTCACAGGTTCCATTGTTTCAACACCATTTTCTGTTTAATTTAGATTTATTTTGTCTGAAAGTTGAAATATTTTCACATCACCCTACTCAATGAATTTGTGATTGTGTGCAGTTTTATTTCAGTATAGCATTTTGTTTTATGATTTTTTACACACCCGTTTCCCAGGGAGTATCACAAGCATTATCACAGTATTTGAAAGACACAACAAGTTTAAATAATATAATATTTCGAACAAAAATTAGAAAAATTACACTGATCCAATTTTGAAAAAAATGATTTTTCCATCTTTTTCGATTTTCTTTAATATTTCTGAAAACTGCAAAGGCATTTTAACGATTTACACTTCATTTATGTCATATTTTTATACACATATCACAAGTTTTTACTGTCAAAAACAGCACAAGTAAATTCCACTTCTGTCTTATACAGATATCACAATTTTTGACTGTTAGAAGCAGTACAGTGTTCTGTTTGTTATACATCCATCGTCCTTTAGTGTTCCACTTGTACGAGGGCGGGGAATGTTCGTTATACATCCATCGTCCTTTAGTGTTCCACTTGTACGAGGGCGGGGAATGTTCTCATACGTAGCCGTTCCACTTCTGCGCGTAACACAGCTACCTCCTGCGCCTGTGCTTTTGCCAGGTCGACGAGCTTCCTCCGCTGTACAATCTCCTGGTAACGCCTTTCACGGCCAAAGTCTGATCTACGATCAGCTGTAAGAAATGGGATGGGGTATTGCTTGTTAAAAAATATTATTCTTCTTTCCATGGTTGTGACATCGTAAATTTTATTTGAAATATCCAAAAGTACTTAATAAATGAATATTTTAAAGAAATTTCATAATATCAAAAAATTAATTTTTTTCACGACGAACAGAACCAAAATATAAAGGAAATGGGACTCACCGTTGACATCGTCAATATGGCGTCTCTCATTGACAGTGACATGCAGCTCCGTAAGATCATTGTCCATATACCGATTTTGATCATCCTTCGATTTGTGGCTCCGTCCGAGTTCTCGTAACTGTTGTTTTTTCGCCGCTACCTTCCTCTCATGATGCTACAGGTAAATACCATTATTGATTAATTTATTTAAAAAGAATCATGCCGACTTTAAACTTTTATGTACATGACGTCAAGCTATAATAATATCAAGGATCATGCTATGATTTGAGATCTGAATTGAAGGTTTGACAACAAGAAGTTGCCGACTCTGGGAGTTTACCCTTTTCTACTAGCTTACCATGATTAATCATAATTGCCATTTTTTTTAAAATTTCCATCGGGGAGATAACGTGAGCCCAATATTAATATCATTAACAAAATGTGTGAATACATTTAGGGACAAAATAAGATTTTAAAATGTCATATTTTGAACTATTATTTCAAGTGAAATCATCAGATCTTAGAATATAGGAATGGTTTACCAGATTTTCTGGTTGAAAATGCTCAATTTTAAGGTTCAAAATTGGGAGTCTCCCTCTAAAATAGGGAGAGTTGGCAAGAATGATTAAACTCTGGTTTGTGTTCGGGAAATCTCAATCGACTAATTAATGATAATCAAAGTAAATGCATCATGAATATCTGTTGTCTTAGAGCCAAAAAAAAAAATCAGGAATTTCATATTCCAGATAAATAAATATGGTGCATAACATTGGTTGAAGCAGAGACGTATATATTACACGTCTCTGGTTTAAGTTATCATAATTTCCGACAGTCTTACCCTCAGCTGTGTCAGTATAGTCTGTTCCAGTTTTCCAATCTCTTCCTGTTTCCTTCCATCATAGTCTGAATTGGACAAATACTGAAACAGAACATAGACAAAAATTATCAAATCATATACATTTGTATTTTAATCCATTTGATATCTTGGACAAAGTATACCAAACACTTGGTTGATAATAACATTCAAATACTGACCTCAACATCTTAAACTCATAACCAGTTACTTGGCACTGTTAAATAAATCTTATTTTTTTTGGAACCATGAAAAAAATGATGAAATAAGGTAAATAGAAAATAATCTGCTTTAAGCCTTAAACCTTTTGGCTTGGTAGGCATTTTACAAAATGCTTTTATAAAGGCAATATAGATACAATGAGTTAAGATTTCAACATTTTTTTGTTTAATTAGCAAAAAAGATCTAGACTGGTAGATGTACTAGTAGGAAAACCGTTAAGAGGATATTTGATGTAACTCATTCACTCCCGCACTTTGAAACTGGACTTGCCCAGACTTTGATTTGGTAAGGTCCAAATGTGACTTTAGGGGTGAATGGGTTAAAAGTCATAGCAATCAACTATGGGATGGCAAAAATATTTGACTGTATATCCATTAAATGGCTTATTGTAATTATCTATATTGTTGACTTATAGAAGACAGTAAACTTTTTATTTCGGAATGTTTTAGTTCAGCACGTGATGTCAATATCAATACATTATGAACTCGATATTTCAGCAGCATAGTTAATGCAAACATCTCCAATATTCCATAAAAATCTGAAAAAGAAGAATCTAAACTTGAGAATTCCATGCATGGAAATGTCAACTTTTACAGAACAGGCCACCAAAATTTTCTATTGTATTTACAGAACAGGCCACCAATATTTTCTATTGTATTTACAGAACAGGCCACCAAAATTTTCTATTGTATTTACAGAATATACTTACCAATTGTATTTCTCTTGTGACTTTCATATATTGAATATCTTTCATTCTGTTTTGGAAATCTTCCATTTGCATAATCATTTTCTTGTGTTCCCTTTAAAAATAAATGCAGAAAAAATACATCTTAGTTGTAAATTGATTTTTTTATTTTGCATTTTTATAATAATAATTTTCACAATTCAAAATATGATTCACTCAGCAGGATAGGATGAGAAAAAATTGTTGATAGTACTTTTTTTTTTATATATTTTTGAATTTTACTTTCTTTCATAATAAAAACTAAAAATTGATAAATTTAAGGACGTTTTTCAAGATGATATAACACGAGTGAAACATACCACTCCAGTTGTATAATTCCTTTCCTGAAGTCTTTACTTTCCACCATGCTGGCAATTTTGCTTTCTCCCAATTGCTGAAAATATAGAATTACAAGTTATTCATATTTGATGGACAATCTAAATTTTCACAAAGGACAGACAGCTTTCATGATCATGAAATGAACAGTATTTTTGCAATTAAATACCTGTGTTGAAATGTTTAATCTTTATTACTTTGAGAAAACTTTGTACGATTACAACCAACAATACGGAAGGGGAGACAATTGTGCTCAAAAGGGAGATAACCAAACATTTAATAAATCCTGTGGGAATGGACAACATATCTTGATGAAAGAAAAATGATTGTCAGGTAAGGGGAAACCCATATTGACAATTGGAACACATCATTTCTGGGAACGGAAAAAGACTAGCTACATTAATTATTTAATGGGGAGACAACTTACCTTAATATTACTGTTGAGCTCCTCGACCACGCTCCTGTGGATGAGGGCGCTGTCCTTGTAGTCGTGGATGAAGGTACTAGTATCCACTTCCACCTGTCCCTGTTTCAACATCAGCTGTACTTCCAGGTTCAGATTAAATCGCTGTCGGTCGTCCTTCAGTCTAGTAACATTAAATTTATAAACATTCTCATTAACCGTGTCCAAAATGAAATGCCAACAAATGTATGTGATGACAATTCCTTTGTATTGACATTTACAAGAAGTCAATTAATTGTTTCTGGGTTTACCAATGCATTCAATGTACTCGGTATTCCGTCTTTGCGTATTGCAGAGTTATCTTCTCTTGTGAGCAGGTGTTGATTGTTACGTCATTGGTTTGTGTGAAAAAATTACGTTGTTTTCTCAAAAATTGATGACGTTACTCTCACAAATATGTGACGTAACAATCAATACCTGCTCCCAAGAGAAGATAACTCTGCAATACGCAAAGACGGAATACGTATCTGAACAATTTTGATAGTAGAACAATATTTTACCTCTGCTTATTTACATCAGCGGGCAGGAAAGCATTATCATTTTGTATTTGGTAAAGATAAAATGAAGCTGCATTTGTCCAATTATTTGAAATTATAATGCTCTGACAGGCACTCACTCATAATTACATTTATTGTTAACTTTTGAAGAATTAACTTTTCACAATTAATTAACTCACTTGTTGAGGGTGTCATAAATGCCATCTATATCGTTTTTTATTTGTTCATCTTCGTCTTGTCTCTTTCGAAGGAATGCTTCCATCTCTGCCAGTACCAGAGCTTTTTCTTTCGTCTGTAAAATAATTTTTATATTCTTAAGGTCAAATAAATTCTGTTCTACTTTCACTACCTGGTATATAATTTTTTTCCCACATGTTTGATATATATATATGTTACATGTATATATTTTAACTCATTCACCCCTACATGTTTAAAATGGACTTGTCCAATTTTTTATTTGGTAAGGTTCAAATGTGACTCTAGGAGTGAATAGGTAACAACAGGTTTTCCTTGAAGTTCTGAAATCTTCATAGATATCTTGAGGATATTTTTAAAAAGCTTTGGAAAAAGGACTGAGCAATAATGTTAAAAACCTATATTTTGTGAGGTATGTATTTTCACGTTTATTTTTTTTGAGAAGATACAATTGAAAATTTGTCTTGATAGTAATTTTACCACAGATAAGCACAGGGGATAGGCTAATCACAGGACAAAGAAATTGCATTTGTTAACATTTCTACTGAACTGCGATATATATGAGGGGGCTTATTAACAGACATGGGCTTATAGCTGGATAAATACTGTAGTTGAAGTACATTTAACTCATTCACCCCTAAAATTTCATAATGAACTATTCCAACCTTTGAATTGGAAGAGTTCAAATCTGTCTTCAGGGATGAATGTGTAAAAGACAGACAATATATACTGTTTAACTGTTCATTTAATGAATATAATCTTCATACATGTAATTAAGTACTGTAGTGTTTTTTTTATCTCTTTTCAATGTTAGGCTAACCATTCACATGACACATACCATTACATCATTTTCTATCTTTTCCCTGCGGTATTTACACAGTCGCTGCCAGATGTGGGGTTCGATACCCTCTGGGGCATTGATGTCTTTATCTAGATCATTGATGGAGTTTTCCAACTGATTCTTGGCACGGGTGTTGAAGCTAGCTGTGGATGGACGATCCGCAAACGGATTTGGAACGGAATGATCCATGGAGGATGGTGCTGGGGCATCAAATCCCTTCAGACGTGGAACCCTTGAATTTAATACCAAATAAGTCTTGTATTTGAAGACGAGAAATTTTAGTCTCTTAAAATTTGGCCGTTCATTTATAAAAACATTCTTTTTTAATGAAGTTGACAATTTATTTTGTTAACTTTATGCAGACTGAAAGGGATTTTATACAAAAACTAGAAAAACTTTCATTTCATTTTCTGAAAGTAATGGCCACTGATCATTTCATCTTTAAATTCGTACTTCAAAGAATAAAAAATTGTGTTTTACATGGTTTTACACAGTGAATGTGACTTTTCAAGCAAAATATCATTTACGACCAAATGAATTGTCACTTTTGGTGTTGGTCAAGTCTGGTTTCACTGCATTACCAATAAACTTCTAAGCAGAGTTTTCTTGCAATATTCCATATAAATGATTTAATCCTATCAGATTAAAAAAAAAAAAAGACAAAAAATCTTCACCGACACCAATGAAAGTCATAGTATGAGATTTCCCCCCCCCCTCCCACATACTTCGGACGTTTACGGAACAGTCTGTAGAGCTGGTCTTGCTGCAGTGCCGTCACATCGTGGAATTCCCGTTTGAACGACCTGTCCATGACCTTGTCCTCAGCCAGGAGGATGTCGTACTGTTCCCGGAAAGCGTCCACATGCTTCTTGGACTCCATCATAGCCTGGGCAGTGATCATCTGGAGTTTGATACAGAGAATTATCAATAAAAAATTTCTTAATATTCATAGTAACATTAGTTTTATTGAAAAAGGAGCAGTGAGACAGAAAGAAAAGAAAACAACATTGTGATGTCCTAATTTGTTTTTGTCCTTTTACGATATCTGTCTAAAATAAGATTGTTTTTCTTAGGTATACAACTCAGCCTTGTTAGGGGTGCCACCTTCATTCCCAGCATAAGAGGTTAGATTGTGAAACCATTGCAAAATAAAAATAATTTTTTTGCAAATTAGAAATCAATCTTTCAAAACATCAAATTTGTTTATGAATTTTAATGAAAATTTGTCCTAAAATCAGCGACAGTATTGGGAGCACCAGAGTGATATGATGTCAAACAATATTCCCAAAGATTCTATTTTTAGTAACATGACCTTGACCTTGAACTGCTGATGACTATACTAACACTTGTTTATAGACCATATTATATACGATTCTATTTTTAGTAAGATGACCCTGACCTTGGACTGCTGATGACTATACTAATTTTTTTTGAGGTGTGTTCAAGGCAAATGTATGCTATGACAGAAATATGGCTGATATTTAAGCCATTTTCTCTAAAATTCAACTTTTAGTAATGTGACCGTGTGACCTTGGTCCAACGATGTCCATACTTGTTTTCAACAAAACCACGTAACTAGGACAAATGTCTCTTGGTGAATTCAGCAGTGTATGGTGTATTACCTTCATGGATTTCTTGTGCTCCAGAAGATGGTTGAGGTCGCGTTCGCGTGTCTCCAGCTCCTCCTCCAGCAGAAGGTTGTTCCTGAGACGGAGAATCTTCAGCTCCTCCTGGGGACAAACAGAATGTAGGTAAAATATTAGTATACAAATATTACAACCGTGTAACACACAGTACAAAGACTCGCACCACTAAATCAGTTAATCAGGAAGTGATTCATACGATTGTACTCCCTACCTAAAATTCGTTCCAGTTCAAAAGATTGCATCTTGAGGAATTAAAATCTGTAAATATTGACATATTTTTAATGAATGAAATCTACAGATATTTAACCTTTGGAAAAATGTATAGTTTTAGTTGATTTTCATATGTGATGGCAGATTTATATGGGGGCAAATGTCAAGGGGGGTGTTTCCGACCCGCTTCAATTTGGCTTGTAAACTTCTGGTTGTCACATGCAGAAGCCTTTGTCAGGTATGAATCTATAAATCTAAACAGTTGTCATTAGTGTTGAACTTCAAATATTAACGCTATTAGCTCAAAAGCTTAGTAATAACAAATAATAAATTATTAAGCTGTGCGAGTCCACCCACCCGATTATACTACAACTCGTCCAGTGGAATATTGGTGTTAGAAAGTGCTTTTGGCGATATATCCAAGAAAATATACAAAGGAATATTAGCCAAAAAGGAACCAGGGGACCTTGAAATTAGTGAAAAGGGTCATTAGCAAAGAGGTAAATGAAACGAGGGGCTTTATATGAAAGTTCTACTGTAAATACTTTTTTCGCAAGCTGATCTGAGTTTCTTTTCCATTCTGGGGTCTTCACAAGTTAGATTATATTTGAGATTAATAAAATGATAAAAAAAATATTCAGTGTATATATATAGACCTTGTGCAATGGAAACAGCGAGATTACTTTTCCTCCTGATGTACTGTCATGATGATCAAAGAGATTTCACTTGAGGGAACGAAATACTCACCTGATACAGAACCATCATGACCTTGATTTTCTTCATGAACAACAGGTTGAGGGTTTCATCGAACAATGTCATGCTGTCATGGATGACCCCCTGCATCTTGCGAAGTTCCGCCTCCAGTTGCTGCACAACACATACAAACAAACCATTCACATGCTGAATATACCTCTGGACACATACATTGGCAGCTTGCATCAATTGAAAGGGCTACAGGCATGGTTAAAACCATCTCGATCAATTTGTTTAGGAAAAGACTTAGGGCATTATAGGGCAAAATCTTTCTTTTATAAAAAGCATATAGCTGTCAATTATAACTTGGAAAAAAATAAATCTGATATGGGTCATGTTTTCCCCCTTAACCCTTTCACCACTGTAGACCATAATGGAATCATCCAGATCAATGTATGGTAGAGTCTACTAAAGTTACCTAGGGGTGAAAGGGTTAGTGTTTTTCCCCTTAGTGTGTCTTGTGCTTTTTGGTCATTCATTTCACAAATATACTACATGCAAGGTTAAAGGTAGACATTAACGTTTGCAAATTTACCAGAACTCACGTCATAGAAAAGTCCACTCAGGGGTAGAATAATCTTTAGGTTCATACTAAGAAATTTCAAAGCACTCGTATAGCAGGAAGCCAAGAACATATTTGACCACCATGATAACAAGTTAAAAATATGTGACCTCTGACCTTCCGTCCAAACTCAATTTCAATATCTTTTAAAGTATCCATTTGATACCAATCTGTTGAATTGGTTTTTTCCGTAAATTTTACAAATTTCTTTCCACCAAAACAGACAACTAAAACTTGTAATAGAATGTTCTGATGACGGCTCACCTTTGAGTCGAAACAAGTCAACACAAGTCTGAATCAATTAAATTCTACTAATTACAAGAAACCGCCATGTTGTCTTTGCTCTGTTGGAATTCATTGATGAGCTATTAGCGGGGACTCCATATACTAACAGTAACTATGGCGGTAATTATCGGAATTGTACCGAATTTTCCACTTCTAAGGGACGTCGTGTCTCGAACCTCCTAGGTTGAACAGAAAGATAAAAAAAAAACCCACTTTACCTTGCGATATTTCTCTCTCTCCTCGGTAAGTTCTTTGACTTTGCGCTCGTACTCCTTGGCAGCTTTTTGCTCATCTTCTGTCCACTCAGATTCCTCTTTCAGGGACATGAAAGCAGGCTTTGGGACGTCCTATGTAAATACAGTAAGCATTTTGTCAATAACCATGTTTGATACATTTTTGGACATTATCATCATCTTCAACATCTTGTCTTATCTGGCATCTAAGCTATTATGACATCATCTCCGGTCTGACTTGTGTTTCAACATTCTGTCTAGTCTGACCTGAACCCGGGACCCACCGAACTCTAGACGGATGCTCTACCGATAGAGCTATCAGGTTGCTGACGATGGACCAAGTCCAGTTCTGCTACATTCCTCCCTCCTCTAATAAAGTCTTCAACCCCGAAGACACACGAGACCCTATACCACCTTCTGTGGGTATATTTTGTTTGGTGCCAAATGTAAAAGGAGAGGAAAAAAACACGGCCAGACCGGGGTTCGAACCTGGGACCCTCCGAACTCTAGACGGATGCTCTACCAATTGAGCTATCTGGTCGCCGACGATCGATAGTAACAGTGTTAAACCATTACATAAAACCTGTGTATTTCAACATCCTGTCCAATCTGACTAATATATTGTGTTCTACAAGGTGTCGGATTAGACAGGAGGTATTTATGTCATACAAACCTTTTTCAGCTCATCTTCTTTCTTGATTTCAAGGACTCCACCCATCATCATATCCAGACCACGCTCACGGGCATTATCTCCCTTTTCTCTCGCTCTCCTTTCTTCAGCTAATTTATCCTGTTTTTCCTTTTGTTTCTTCTGGGCTGGTGTGAGGTACTTCTCCACTTTAACCTGCAGAACAAAGACAAATACTTAAGTTATGTAAAGTGATACCCCGTCAATATAAAAAATCCACTTTTCCAGTGAAAATAATTGGATGACGACCGAAACAGCTGGATTGCTGGGACAATTTCAAATAGAAGTAGGGATATATCTGTCCCTTTAACACGTGGAGAGTGACTTTTACTTTTGTAGTATGTAGTATAGTGTATATGTAATACATGTACAACAAATACATGTACAACACAATAAAGTCAAAAGTACTTAATTGTTTACAGAACTTACCTCGCTTTCATCAACTGTCAGAATACTCTCCGGATTTTCCAGAACGCTAAGGGTTGGTTCAATGAGTTCCTCGTTGATGCTCAAATCCGTCATGTTTTTTATTATTTTCTTGTTCTTTTCCTTGATTTTGGAGATATCCTGCAGTTTTCTCTGGTAGACTTCATCAAAGTCCTTGTTAAAGGTTAGCTTGATTCTATGGAGAGCATCCTACAAACAAATTACAATTGTTAGCCATTATTATTTATTAAAGACATTGGTCTTATTTTTCTTCAAAAAACCCACATATTAACAGGTAAAACGATTTCGGAAAATCTTTCAAGTTCCCCTAATGGAAGTGTTAAAAAATAATTCACAGTGACTAGTGAAATTCTGAAACTCCTTCAATTTCCCCCTAACACAACAGCAAGCCCTCATGAATCTGACTGCCACTGTGCATACACAACATAGATATAAATTTGTCTTGAATGTCTGTTAAATAAATTCCTATGTACATTCCAATAAAAAAACACATCATTTAAACACTTTTTATAGAAAGATCAAACCGTATATTTATGAATATCCTGAACTTCAAATTCCATCATGATCAAATCTGTACCCTTCATGACATTTCCTATTCTCTCAAGACTTTCTCCTCTATAGACCTCTCACCTCTCATGACCTCTCCAGATCTCTATCATGACCTCTTGTGACATGTCATCTCTCATGTCCTCTAACCTCATGACCCCTCCAGATCTCTATCATGACCTCTTGTGACATGTCATCTCTCATGACCTCTAACCTCAAGACCCCTCCAGATCTCTATTATGACCTCTTGTGACATGTCATCTATCATGACCTCTAACCTCATGACCCCTCCAGATCTCTATCATGACCTCTAGTGACATGTCATCTCTCAGGACCTGTAACCTCAAGACCTCATAGTTCTTACGACTTTGACCCCTATTAACCTCGCACCTCAAATAACCTTTACAATTTTCTCTCGTCTCTTAAGACTTTGACCCCTATTAACCTCTCATATCACATGACCTTTACAGTGACCTCTATGTCTCATGATTTTGACCCCTTTTAACCTCTCACCCCACATGACCTTTACAATGACCTCTCACCTCTAGGAGTATGATCTGTGTGATCTTCTGCTCCCTTGTGTGAAGGTCAAACTGACTGTAGAACAGCTCATTGGCACCGCCAAACATGGCACCTGGTCAAACAGACAGAAGCAGACATTTTTAATGTTGCCAAAAGACATATTTTTAATGGATCACGAATTTGCAATAATAATATCGGTAAATTCTAATGTTAACATACGAGGCCAAACAAAGACAAGGTTGAGTTTCAGGCTTTTTAGATGAATAAGTTAACCCTTTCACCACTGCAGACCAAAATGGACTCATCCAGATCAATGCATGGTCGAGTTTACTAAAGTGGCATAGGGGTGACAGGATTCAAATTGGTTCTGAGAAATTTCTATCAAAATAGAAAGATCGAAATGAAAATTCCGAAATTAAACAATCCTATTCCTACTGACCAATCCACGAAGTAGGTTGAATTTATAAAATGGGTTGATACTGCATAAACAAGTATAGATATCTTGTAGTACAGGGCCCACTTGTATAAAACATCTCAAGTCTAAGATGTCCCATAGACAATACATTGCTTGAGATTTTCCTTAACTTTGAGACGTTTTATACAAGTGGGCCCATGTCTTTAAACTTTAATGGCGCTTGCTTAATATTTCTTTAAACACTATTGCAGCAGGCAAAAGGAAATAAAAGTCAGCAAAGAAACCTGAAACATTTTTTTTTTCATTATTGATGAAGGAAATTCTTTACATATATATCAAGATATGAATTATCTTAGTTAATATAGCATTCACATAAGTATAGGAATTATTCACATGTAAACGATCATGTGGTTTCTGAAAGAAAACATTGTTTTTTAAATATGAAGTTTATTACACACATATCAAAATCATTTGAAATATATTTACTGAAAAGTGTCAAACAGAAATGCTATTGGTTCTTTTTCAGAACAAAATAGTTATGTGATTGTTTAATGACATATATATTTATTTCAATACAATAGATCCTAATGTCAAATAATTTCAATGATTCAATTTAAATGAAAACCAGGTGTGGATATGAGTAAAGTTTTAAGTTACGAAAATAAACTGATAAAAACACAATTGGAATCTAATGATGTAAACAAATCTTAAATAGAATCAAAGTTTAACTTCTTAAATGTTAAATATTTAATAACAAAAGACATTTTTAGAAAATGAAATATGAAAGAGATCAAAAGGTATTAAGTAAAATAATTGAAAAAAGGGTTAATCATTTAAAATCTGAACAGGAATAAAAAAAGATTTCAAAATGTCTTAAATGATTAATTCTAAAGGAACAAGCAATTAAGAATATATGTATTTAAGATTTTCAGAAATAAATTCTATTTGTAGATTTACTAGCAATTTTAATTAAGATTTTTGAAATTTATATATAAGACACCATACCCAATGACTGAAAAGCATTGACTAAATATACTCTGGAACCAAGCCTTTTCGTTTCGTTTTCTGATGATAAAAATATCACAAAATCGTCTCAGAAGATAGTTTACCACTTGCTCAGAATTTGAATATTACAGGTTCCATCATATAACTGAAAATAACATATTTAAATCAGCTTAAATACTTGGAAATTCTGAAAAGAAGGAGTCCAAGAAAAAAGTAGGGATTTGTTGCTGCAGCCATGAACCAATTAAGTCTCCAAATCCACAATATGAATTCAGATATTGGATTGTATTTTAATGACTGAATTTGCTTAAAAAGTCCAGATACCATAACCAAGGATAACAGATACTCATGTGAAAGACTACTTCTGTATAAGGATCCCTGTCTCACTGCGTCTGTGGTTTTTCCTTTATTAACAGTAACGTCCCCTTAACTTCCCTTTATATACAGTAACATCCACTTAACTTCCCTTTATATACAGTAACGTCCCCTTAACCTCCCTTTATATACAATAACGTCCCCTTAACCTCCCTTTATATACAGTAACGTCCCCTTAACTTCCCTTTATATACAGTAACATCCCCTTAACTTCCCTTTATTTACAGTAACGTCCCCTTAACTTTCCTTTATATACATTAACGTCCCCTTAACTTCCCTTTATAGACAGTAACGTCCCCTTAACTTCCCCTTAACTTCCCTTTATATACAGTAACATCCCCTTAACTTCCCTTTATTTACAGTAACGTCCCCTTAACTTTCCTTTATCTACAGTAACGTCCCCTTAACTTCCCTTTATATACAGTAATGTCCCCTTAACTTCCCTTTATATACAGTGACATCCCCTTAACTTCCCTTTATATACAGTAACGTCCCCTTAACTTCCCTTTATTTACAGTAACGTCCCCTTAACTTCTCTTTATATACAGTAACGTCCCCTTAACTTCCCTTTATATACAGTAACGTCCCCTTAACTTTCCTTTGGATGTACAATAACTATAGCACAGTTTGGCCAGGCCACTTCCGTTGACCTGGGACCGTATTCATGAAACTGTTCTCGTGCTCAAACTCAAATTCTGTGTTCAAACCCAAGTTCTTGTTAAAAGTTTCTGTGACTAATTAAATGAATTAAGAGACTGCAAGCCATATTCTATCTTAAATGTTTTTGATAGACTATCTGACCATGTCACATGATTTAAGCAAGTTACAAGAAAGTTTGTTTGAGCACAAAATCCATGCTCGAGCATGAGAACGGTTTCATGAATACGGGCCCAGGTAGCTTAATCAGTTAGAGCGATAATATAACAATCTAAAGTCCAGGGTTCGAATCTGGCCCCACTGAATTTTTACACTCAGAACATTGTTGTTGATTTACATTTTGTTTATTTTGTATCTATTATTTCTCATAAAAGTCCTGCAAAGCATAATTTTCTTTTCAGAAATTACTGTATTTATCAAAGCTATTTATAGCCACGCTGGTAAAAACAGTCTGCAGTACTTGGTTACAGTTTCTGGCAGTGGTACGGGGATCCTTAAAAATCAAGACACCGTAACCCAGAATAACAGAATATGTTAATGTGAATTCTACATAATTTTATAGGAAATAAAAAGTGTCCATCATTATAATAGACCAAATTTACCCAAACTTATTGGTTGATCAAGAGTGTTTTCTTAAACAAAGAATACGGCAATACAAATTAAGACAATGAATATAGTTGAACTTTTGTCTATAAAGATTTTTTTTCTAAAATATTTGTGCAATACCAGGGTATGTGTTGATTTTCTCTGTTTTATTTATATATCTAATATTGAAGAATGAGTATTTGTAATATCATTCAAATTCACACCGAACGAACGATTTCAGTTTATTATGGTAACTGATTATATATCAATAACTGACATAGTACATATCTGTATTAATTACTTACAAAATAAATTACTTGAAATGTGTGAAATTTCATAACATTAAAGAACAACTGCCAAAATTGTGTTACCTGGTAAAAATATTTTCCAAATGGAAAAGAATAAATGGAACATGGTTCAGTATTTTGAAAAAACAACGTATTAATGATACTATTAACAGGTATTACATAATAAAATTTGACAGGCCTACCATTAACAAAATATTATACTGCATTAGTAACACAATGCAATATTAACAGGTTTATCATTAAAATAAGGTGATATTATCAGGAATTTGATATTAACTTGTGGTATTACGTTAACATAATGTCACATTATCAAGAAATCTATATTAACTATATGGTACATGTATTACGTTAACATATTGTGATATTATCAGGAATTTGATATTAACTTGTGGTACGTATAACTACGGAATAAGATCTTAGTCCGTGGTATAACGTTAACCAATTGTGATATTATCAGGAATTTGATATTAACTTGTGGTACGTATAACTACGGAATTAGAACTAATTCCCAGGTATAACGTTAACAAATTGTGATATTATCAGGAATTTGATATTGACTTGTGGTACGTATAACTACGGAATTAGATCTAAGTCCGTGGTATAACGTTAACAAATTGTGATATTATCAGGAATTTGATATTAACTTGTGGTATTACGTTAACAAAATATGATATTACATGTATCAGGTATTACATTTAGTTGGGAATTTCACTTTACAGCAATATAACCTTAACATAAATTATTAACAGGTAATTAGTGACTAACTTGTAATTTTTATCAACATAGAAGCCATATGGCATGCAAGCATATGTGAATAATTCTGAAATATGAATAACTTGTATTTTTTTTTTCTACAGCTGAAATGAAGATAACACATGTAACAATGTTGATATTTTCTATAAAGTAGCTGCTGAAACTGACAAATAATGGTAAAGTCCAATTTCATCTTCTCAAATTACTTAAAATTAAACCAACCCAGATAAACTGGGTAGATATTTTCAACGTGCAGGGTTGAACCACATTTCAGCTCGGATTGATAATAAGTATAAAGCAACAGATTCATGCTCCATTGGAAAAACTCAAAGCTATAATAAATATAGATTTCAAATGTCAACATCCATGCATCAGAAATCATTTAAAGTAGAAAATATTTGATATCAGAAAAAAACATTCTTGTTAGCAAGAGCAAAGAATATAGACAGGGTTCAATTGTCAGCATAACAATGGAAATGATAGTTAAAACCCATAATTTCAAACAAAAGGGAAAAATTGTAAAATAAAATGTTAAAAAAATAAAAGAAAAAAATATGAACTGGCATAAATATTTGTTTTTGTGTGGTATTGTTGATGATTGGCCTATCAAATGAAAGTACAAACAACGGAGCTCATTATTATTTCATGTATCAGTAATTAATTAATAATTCTAGCGTCATGGCAAATGATGATTTTGCAAATTTTAATTTCCAACTTTATCTGGAAAATACTATTATGCATTGATTTGAATTTCTTATTTCAATATTTTTCAGTGTGTATACATGCTGGTGAATTAAACATGCTCATTGCTCTGTTGAATTAACAGATTAAAATTCAATGATAATCTATTCTGGGGAGAAAAAACACTAAACGACAATCTTGTATACAGCA